TGATCTCATTTATGCTAGATCCTGCAATTAACATATCATCAACGTACAACAGTAAAATGATATAGGATTTATCAATATTTTTGATATAACAACAATGGTCCATCTCATATCGTGTGAAACCATTATTATGCATGAATCCATCAACTTTCTTGTACCATTGTCGGGGTGCTTGTTTCAAACCATACAAACTCTTCTGCAACTTACACATAAGGTTTTCTTTACCAAAAACTTGAAAACCTTCAGGTTGCTTCATGTAAATGTCTTCTTCAAGGTCACCATGCAAGAAAGCAGTTTTAACATCTAGCTGCTCCAAATGCAAATTTTCTGTAGCTACAATACTTAGCATCAACCTGATAGTAGTTAACTTGACTACATGAGAGAAGATCTCGGTGTAGTCAATCCCTTTATTTTGTTGAAAGCCTTTTACTACTAATCGTGCTTTGTATCTCTTCTTACCATCATGCTCTTCCTTGACCATGTACACCCACTTGTTTTGCAATGCCTTCTTTCCTTTTGGTAACTTTGTAAGTATCCATATTTTATTCTTTTGAAGAGAATTCATCTCTTCTTTCATAGCTAGCTTCCACTTATCAAAGCTTATCACCTGCATTGCTTTAACAAAATGCTCTGGTTCTCCAGCATCAGTCAGAAGTAAATAGTGGAGAGAGATAGTTAACCTATCCGGAGCATTCGTGACTCTTTTAGATCTCCTTAATGTAGGTTCAGGATTAACTGATCCTGAATTTGATTCAAGTCCCGTCTCCAGATCTGGTTCTCCATCTGATTCTATCTCTGGTTCTGGTTCTGATTCTGATCCATATTCAGCTTCTGGTTTGGCTTCTTCAATTTCAGATCCAGTTGTAGGCTCTCTAGCAATTTCATTTTCTGAGATTTCTTCTAACTCAACTGTTTCAGATGTTTGTCTGCTGGTTCTTGTTGGTTCTACTTCAAGCTTGTCTTTGCACATCACATTTTCATTGAATGTGATATTCCTGTGTCTTAGGATCTTTCTATTCTGATCATCCCAAAATTGATAAACAAAATTATCATCACCATAGCCAATAAAGAAATATTTCTTGGCTTTAGTATCAAGCTTATCTCTATTATTAGAGTTTACATGCACATAAGCAACACAACCAAAAAATTTCAAATGTGAGAGAGTTGCCTACTTTCCTATCCATACCACCTCAGGAATTTCAAAATCTAGCGGTACAGAGGGTCCCTTATTTATGAGGTAAGCTGTCGTGTTAACAGCCTCAGCCCAAAAATACTTCGACAATCTAGAATGTATTTTCATACTTCTGGCTCATTCATTCAGGGTTCTGTTCATCCTCTCAGTAATGCCATTTTGTTCCGGTGTTTTAGGAACTGTCTTGATCATTCTGATCCCATTCTCATAGCAGAATGCTTTAAATTCTTGACTATCATACTCTCCTCCATTTTTAGATTTCAAACATTTTAACTTTAGACTTGTCTGATTTTCAACTTCAGCTTTCCATCTTTTAAAGGTAACAAACACATCAGATTTATTTTTCAGAAAATAAACCCATACCTTTCTTGAGGAATCATCAATGAAGGTGACATAACAGCGTGAGCCTCCAAGAGAAGTTACAAGAGATGGTCCCCACACATCTGTATGCACTAGTTCCAGCTTCTCTTTCTTTGGCGTCCTTCCCACATTTGAGAAACTGACTCTCTTTTGTTTCCCGTAAATGCAATCTTCGCACAAACCTAATTCAACATGCTTTAGGTTTGACAACTTTTCTTTGGATGCCAACAACTTTATTCCCTTCTCACTCATATGCCCGAGGCTCCTTAGCCACAATGTTGTATCACGACCATGATCAATTGTTGCTATAGTATCTCTTTGTATTGTAGTTGCATACAGTGTTCCCTTCTTGAAGCCCCGTGACATAACCAAATTACCTTTGGTTATCTTCCACGATCCATTACCGAATGTTGTTGTATATCCTTCACTATCAATCTGACCCATAGATATCGGATTTTTCTTGAGGCCAGGAACATGTCAGACATTTTGCAATTTCCATACCGTGCCTTGTGAAGTCTTTATATGAACTTCATATGATGACCCAAAATGTCATCTTTAAATTAATAATTAATTCGGTGTTCTAAGACCTCAAAAAGCACTATTTATTATTCCTCGACTTACGTGCGTAGTCCGTAAATTTTTTTCGGAAAGGTTTTATGTGAAAAATAGATAAAAATATGAATAAGAGTTTTAAAACTCAAATGAGTTGACTATGGTCAACATTTTTAGTAAACGGACTCGGATCAGTATTTTGACAGTTCCAGTAGGTTTGTATCATGATTTGGGACTTAAGCGTATGCCCGAAATCAAATTTTGAGGTCCTTATCCCGAGATATGGAATTTTGATGAAAAATTAAAAGTTTAAGTTCAAATAGTGACCGGATGTCGAATTATGTGCAAACGACCCCGGAATAGAATTTTGATGATTCCAACTGCTCCGTATGGTGATTTTGGACTTAGGAGTATGATCAAAATTTTATTTGGAAGTCCGTAGTGAAATTAGGTTTGAAATGGCTAAAACAAGAATTTAAGTTTGAAAGTTTGACCGGGAAGTTGACTTTTTTGATACCAGAGTTGAAATACAGTTCCAAAAATTTCTAGCTTTGTTATGTCATTTATGACTTGTGTACAAAATTTGAGGTCAATTGGACTTGATTTGATAGGTTTCGACGTCGAATGTAGAACTTAGAAATTCTAAGTTTCATTAAGCTTGAATTGGAGCATGATTCGCGACTTTAGCGTCGTTTTATGTAATTTGAGGTTTCAAATAAGTTCGTATAATGTTTTAGGGCTTGTTGGTATATTTGGTTGAGGTCCCAAGGGCCTCGGGTGAGTTTTGGATTAACGGATCAAAAATTGGACTAAAAAAGCTGCTGCAATTTTTCTCTTCTGCTGAATATTCTGGGCTGTGATCGAGACCAAATATCGAGCCTAGGGTCAATGACCAAGGTCGAAGCCAGGGACGAGGCTCAGGATCGAGCCCAGCTCGAGGGTCATGATCGAGACCCAGACTCGATGCCATGATCGAGGGAAAGATCGAGGCCCAGGCTCGATGCCATGATCGAGAGCCTGTGAATGAAGCCACGATTGAGGCCTAGGCTTGAGGGCCATGATCGAAGCCACGATCGAGGCCTAGTTCTGAAGGTTTCCTGGGCAGAATTTATAAAAGAGGGCATTCATCTGATTCACCATTCTTAACCAATTGGAGCTTGTGCAGAGGCGATTTTCGATAGATTTTCAAGGAAAGACATTGGGGTAAGTGATTCTACTTCGGTTTTGGTCTATATACACAAATATATCATTGTTTTCACCATTTAAATTAGTGTTTTGAGATTGAAATTTGGAAAAGTTTTGAAATTTCATATAAACGAATTTTCGAGGTTTCTGTATCGATTCGAAGTCGGATTTGAGTAAAATTGGTATGATTGGACTCATAATTGAATGAGTTGTCGGATTTCATAACTTTTGCCGGATTCCGAGACATGGGCCCCACGGACGAATTTTTAATTAATATCGGGATTTTTATTGAAATTATAGTATTTTCTTATAGAATTGATTCCTATAAATTTTAATGATTGTATCGAATTATTTTTGGTTAGATTCGAGTCAATCGAAGTTGGATAATCGAGGAAAAGGCTTACTACTGGATTAAATTGGAGCAAGACGAGGTAAGTCTCTTGTCTAATCTTGTGAGAGGGAAATTACCTCATAGGTGATTAAATTAATAATTATTGCTAATTGTGGGGGCTACATAGGCACGAGGTGACGAGAGTCTGTGCGTAGCTACTATTAATGATAAAGTTCAGGTAGTTTAGGACTCAAAAGCATAAATTGCTTGTGTAAATTATATTCTTTACTTAATTAAATTATTTGATATATATATATATATATA